TTTCACTTAGCTGCTGAAGAAAATACATTCTGTGTGGCTCTATTTTTACAGCTGGGAATTGCTCTGAGAACACAATCGACTATTTCATACATGTGAGATTTATTTAAATGACTCATGGGGCATTTGCAATTTGACCAATAATTGGAAATATTATTGCTTTGTGGCAGGTAACACTAGGATGTCGTTTTGCATTCCGGAAGAGGGGCTTCAAGCTCAATAGCGTGACATTAGTTAAAGCGGTGGCCAGGGGACAGGGGCTTAGTGTGATACTGAGATTCAATTCTTAACGGTGCATTCCTGGGCTGTGCCCACCCCGTGGAAAGACAGAGTGCTCGAGTGCCTGAGGACTGCACATGGGTGCTCTCAGGAAGGCCCCAAAGCACTAAGGTGTTCTTTTGTTCCATGTGCTGGACAGAGATGGAAGGTCATGTCAGATATGTGGGGCCCCATCGTTCCCCAACTCTTCTCTTACCTCTTGTTCCTTCCCTGCTATTCTTTGCTGCTGGTTCACATCGGAATCCCCTAGAGTCTCATGCAGAAAACCAAGTTCACGCTCTCAGGATGGACCACCCAGCCCCTCCATGGTGGTTCATAAATGTCAGCAAGGATTCAGAGTACATGTTCCCACTGAAATGATCTTGTGCTGAATGATGTACATCCCATTGAATAAGGATGGTGGCTAGTAATACTGTATAAAATATCTTACTGCTCATGGCATTAGGTATTTTGTGGGCAGAATTAAAGTCCTAACCACCATTATTAATTGTTCTCTGCATCAGTGGTTCTCAGCCAGAGTGACTCTCCTTCCCTCCCCCAGGGACGACTGCCAGTGTCTCCAGCTACTTGGTTGTCACAGCTGGATGGAGGGTCCTCCTAGCACCTAGTAGGTAGAGGCCAGGGATGCTGCCTAAAATACAATGCACAGGACAGCTACTAGAACTAAGAATTAGCCAGCCTCAAACGTGAATTGTGCCAAAAGTTGTGAAATCTTGCTGTAGAATTTCTTTAAAAAAAGAAGAGACTTCCCCAAATACCTTAGGACACCCCGTGCTTATAGGGTGGTGACTTCTGTAATCAGCACTAATATGTACAGTGCATCAAGTTGATGGTTGGAAGCCTGACTTCATCATTAATGCGTTGGTGATATCACAACACCTTGGCATCCCGTGTGCCACACTGGAGGCTGGGGAAAAGTGGTGAACAGGACAGACGAGGTCATTCACCCATCCATAGGTGCAAAATAAAGGGGAGACGATGAACGTTCCAGGCAGAAGGACTGTGAGCATGGAGGCCTGAGGCTGGAAGGAGCCTGGTAGGTTCTGTCAACTGCCCAGAGGAGTTCTGTAGAAGGAAGCCAAGTCCAGACAAGGCAGGCCAACTCACAGGCCGCGGAAGGGGGTTTGCCTTGCACCGTGAGAGCCTAGAGAAGCCGTTGGCGGGATGAGCACTGGTCTTGGCTCCAAGGGTCACGGTCAGCCCTCCCTATCAACAAGGTCACTGGGGCCATGCAGACAGTGAGTCAGGTATAGGGGGCTAATGTTTGCCAGGACTGTTGGTGGCTTGACTGGGGACCGTGGAGGTGGAGAAAGTGCAGCGTTCAGAAACTGTCTCCACACTTGCTGACAGTTCAGCTGCGGTCAGGAAAGGGATGAACGATGAAGGATGATTTACCGGCATTCAGCTTAGATTCTTGGGCACATGGGGTGCCACACTGATGGAGGTGTAAGACCTGGAGGAACAGCAAGTTTAGGGCATGAGGAGTACATTTTCCTCCCATCCAACCAAGAATTTCTATGAAAGTGGGCCTGGGGACTTCTATGTATCTTCCTGTAATTTTTTTTTTTTTGGAAAGAAACAGTGTTAGAGTCTCCTTTGCTTGCTAAAATTTAATTATTTTTCCTGGATTGCCCCTTCTTTCCAGTGTGTTAACATGATAATAAGCCAGTAAAGCTTAGAATTATTTCTAAATAGCTTCCTTGGGAAATCATGAAGCATTTTCTGTATTAGATATTTCCTCCATCTATGCAAATAAAACAGTGATGAGAGGCCATTTACAATTCCAGACTTCTACCATTGAGTCTCTGGAACACAGACACAAATCTTGTCTGGCTTAGTGTCATCACAGGCACTTTCAGTCTCAGCCGGCAGGAAAGCACTTTTCCTTCTTTGTGAGGCTGGCAGTGTTGAGAGAGCACAAGGAAGTCAGCAGAGCCTGACGCCTATTGTTGAGTCTCCCAGTGGCATCGGTCATTTCCTGACCCCATCTCCAGGGCCGTTTGCGCAGGCCACCCGGGGCCTGGCTGCTGCCCCCAGGAGCACAAAGGCCATCTTCCCTAAGCACTTGGGACCAGCTGTGAAACTATGATACAAAGTCACATACTAGACCCTTGAATCCCTCCTGCAGCAAAGACATGAAGGAAATGGCCCACAATTGAAAAATGCCACAAGTAAATGGGAAAGTCAGCTTTTAAAACTCCTCTTGATTTTTAGATGTGGGAAGTTGGGGAATATTTGGCAGTTGAGAGAATTGTCGGATAGGTTGGCAGGAAGACCTCACAAGGCTAAGGACTGAAACCCAAGGACTCTGGACCCTCCATGATAATGGTAATGAGTGACCATAACAGCAGAGCCAGCTTTACTTGAGCCCTTAGTGTGTGCAAGAAGTGTGCAAAGCACCTGAGATGTGTTACCCTTTTTTATTCCTCACAACAGCCTGTGGAATTTTAAAAGCTGTTATTCATACCCCTTTTACAGTTGAACAGAGGCACAGTAAAGTCAGAAACAGTTCATTGGTGGTAGAGCTGGGACTTGAACTTGGGTGGTTTGTCTCAGGAGCCCCCAGAGACCAAGAAGTCTTAAGAACTGATACACTCACAAATCAAAGAAGGCCTAATATAGGCAAAAATATATTTTGTTAACTTTTTAAAAAATTATTGAAGTTTTTAGTGTGTGTGCCGTATTTGGAAAATAAAGTAAATAAAAAGATCTAAAGTTGTTTTTGCTGACTAAAGTTTTTAAATGAGGGTTTTTTTAAATATTTCTGTTTTTTAGTTTTTATTTTGAGTAGCTGTAGATTCATATGCAATTGTAAAATACAATACACAGACGTCCTGTATACCCTCCACCTAGTTCCCCCAGTGGTATCGTCTTATAGAACTACAGCACACGATACCACAGCTAGGAAATAGACATCGTGACAGTCCGTCCACCACATTCAGGTTTCAGTAGATTTGCATGTACTCATGTGCGTGTGTGTATTTACTTCCTTGCAGTTTGTCACGTGTAGATTTGTGTGATCACCATTACAGTGAAGATACAGGACGGTTCCATCATAGGGACCCTAGTGCCACCCTTTGACAGGCATACCCACCACCTCCCTCAATCCTCCGTAACCTGTATAACCACTAACATGTTCTCCCTCTCTACAATTCTGTTATATTAAGAATATTTTATAGGAATTATATGGTATGTAAATTTTGGAATTGACTTTTTTTACTCAACACAGTTTCCTTGAGATCCATCCAATTTGCTATACGTATCCGTAGTTCATCCTTTTTGTTGCTCGGTTGTGTTCCGTGTTGTGGATGTACCACTTAACCATTCACCCTTTGAAGACAACTGGGTTGTTTCCAGTTTGGGGCTGTTAAAATAAAGCTACTATGAACATGGGTGTACAGGCTTTTGTGTGAACATGAGTTTTCATTTTTCTGAAATAAACATGCAAGATGGCTGGTTCACAAGGATGAATGCATGTTTAATTTTGTAAGAAACTGTCAAACTGCTTTCTAGAGTGGCTGCACCATTTCACATGAGTTCCTGAGTTTCTCTGCCTCCTTTTCAGAATTGGGTATTATCACTAGGTTTTATTTTGGCCATTCTGATAGGTGTGTAGAGAATAGCCCATTGTGGTTTTAATTTGCATTTCCCTAATGACAGACAATGTTGAACATCTTTTCATGGGCTTGTCTGCCATCTTTATATCCTCTTCAATGAAATGCCTGTCCATGTATGTGACCATTTTCTGATTTTTTAACTAATACGAGAGTACTTTATGTATTCTAGATACTAGTCCTTTGTCAAATACATGGTTTGCAAATATTTTATCTGTACCTTTTTTTTAAGTGTAGTTAATATATAGTCTTACATTGTTTTCAAATACACAACACCATGGTTCAACATTCACCCATATTATCAAGTCCTCATACCTTCCAGCGCGGTCAGTATCCATCAACATAGTAGGATGTTACAGAATCATTAACTATTCTCTGTGCTGACTCTGTATCTCTTTATTATGTCATCTTAGCAGAATGTTTTACAGAGCAAGTCTTTTCAGTTTTGATGAGGTCTGGTTTATCAGCTTTTCCTTTTTGGAGTCATGCTTTTAGTATCAAGTCTAAGAAAAAGTAGGGTTCAGATTCCTGCCTCTTTTAATGGGGTGTATGGTTGTTGAGAAAGAAGGCAGTGGCGCAGGATGGATGTTAGAGTGTGAGTGATTCTTCCAACTCCTCTCTGCTTTGGACTCTGGTGTGTGTGTCATGATTATGTTTGTCAGGGTTATGGCCCCAGGGTAGACCTTGTCTTACAAAGACTCTAAGATGATGATGGTGTGAAAAGAAAATTACTTCCAGAACTGTCCATGAGACCTCCTAACACATGGCCTTTTTGTACTTGAGATCCTCTGTTTGAAACACTCTTCCCTGTCCCCACCCTTCTCCAGCTTTGTCCTGTCGTGTCCAGCTTACCCTCTGATGTCCACCTACCAGGCCCTTCCTCAGAGTGCCCCCCTCAGCCCTTTGGACATACTGGAGTGGACGGTTCCTTGCTGTGCTGGGCTCTCCCGAGCCTTATAGGACACTGCACATGCAGCACCCCTGGCTTCTGCCCACTCGATGCCAGCTGCATCCTCCCCCCACGCCCAGTTGTGAGAACCAAAAATACCTGCAGATGCTGCCAGATGTTCCCTGGAAGACAAAACTGCCCCGGCTGAGAGCCACACTCTAGACTATCCTCTCCGGCAAAGTAAGTGCTGGGTCCATTTTGTCTCAGTGCCTGTCCCACTGGTGCTCCCTTAATGTTTGTCAAATAGGAATGTGGACAAGCTGTACCTGCTCTACAGCAGTTCTTTACAATCCTGAAAATACCAGCCTGATTTCAGAAGGAGCAAGTGGGCTTTGTTGTGAACTTGAGCCTTAGAAATCGAAAGTCCCTGTCTCTGCGGTTGCATGGGGGTTTACGGTCCTCCTCCCTGCTGACCGCAGTAGGGATGGCGCCTGAGTCTTCAGTTCCTGCCTGATAAAAGCCCACATCCTCTCCTCACTCCACTGGCACAGGGGCCCCCACAGCCACGAACTCTGAGCCTGCCTCTGAGAAAAAGAGGGCTTCCCAGCAGGCAGAACGGACCTCCTGCGGGTGGCATTTTAAGGGTAATTTGGCACACGGGGATAGTGGAGATCCAATTCAGCATTCACCTGCTGAGAGTCCTTCCTTCTCTAGCAAGCCTTGCTCCCTTTTTATGAGGGAAGGGAGAAAAGTAGGGATTTAGGCTCAGTTTTGCTTAACTAAGCATGTAACTGGATATAATTAGCTCAGAACATTCCCAAGGAATAAGTACAGTGGCCATAAGAATAATTTAGGGTATGTGTGAGCGTTTTTGGTTTTTCTTTCTGTACCTGGTAGCTCTGTTCCCTGAACCTGAGTCAGACAGCTAGCTTTGCTTTAGAGAAAAAAGAAAGAAAGAAAGAAAAAAAAGCAGTGAGTGGCAGGGGAGAGAACAGGCAGTGGGTAGGAAGAACAGGCTGGCAGGAGGTAATGGCTGGTTATGTCAACCCCCCTGCAACTGCTTTTTGAGAAGGATGTCGGGGTGCACAGAGGGTCTGCAGCACTGGAAGGCCAGGCTGGTTGTCCCCCTGTGGGGACCCAGCCTAGTGTGAACGCCTTCTTTGGGGCTCCTCACAGGAAGCTCAGAGCAACACAGGCGTCCCGCACTCCAGCCACAGAACTTCGGTTCAGGATGTAGATGAACCTGTTGATAAGGTGGAATGACAGCCCAAAGCTTTAATCACTGGCAGCCCAAACCTCTCCTGGGATTCACAAAAGTGAGTCTGCTGGAGTCCTTCCTCCCCCACATAGAGAAGCCTTGGATAGAAAATTCCAGAGAGAGCCACTGTGCCAGTTGGTGTCAGTGCGGTGGTTGCTTGAACAGGAAGCAGTCCATGACTTCAGACCGAAGCCTTGATTCTAAATTAAGGAACCTCAGGGGCACCGTGGTGCCACCCCTTGGGAGAGAGTGGGGATGTGTGTTCCCTTGTGCTCTGGCAGGGTGTCTCATCCTGGGCACTGATGTTCGGGGCCAGGCAGTTCCTCGTAGTGGGGGCTGCATTGTGTACCATAGGATGTTTAGCAACATCCCTGTCCTCAACCCACTGGAAGCCAGTAGCCCCCCTTCCCAGGTATGAGAACCAAAAATATCTCCAGTCATTGCCAAATGCCCCCTGGGGGGCTGCGTCACTTCCCTCCCAATTGAGAACCCCGGCACCAAGGTCACAAACATTCTGGTTGATTCTCATGCCTTGTGAAGCTGTGGTCACTTGTTTACCCCAAGTACCTGATGATGCAAGCACAGGACAGAGGGGTAGAAAGAAGGCAGTGTCTCTTCACTTTTTCCTCTGTTGACCTTTTAAACTCCATCAAAGGATGAAGCATGACACTGACTGAGAGTGTCAGTTTTCAGACATCTCCTCACCCTGTACAGTCTGGGGGACCTGGGCAGGCTATTTCATTTTCCTGGGCCTTGGTTTTTGTCATCCATAGAATATAAATACTAATGCCTTCTTCTTATGTTGAGGCTTCAGCTAGATACTGACTTTACACAAAAGCTTCAGGTACAGTGGCTGGCAGATAGTGGCCATTCAATATCTGATGGCTGGTAGTCCTGAGTGTGCCACAAGTTTTAAGTAAATTGGATTTTTTTTTTAAGTTAGCAGTAACAGTTTCTGCTGCTACCTAAAATGGTAACGGGGGCAGTTCATTTCCATTGAGCCATGATTTATTTCATAAACGTTGAACTCTTACTATATACCAGGTACTGTGCTAAATGCAGGGAATCAAAACATTAATAAACTGTAATACCAGGCATTAAGTATCTAATATGTGGCTTTGCACCATAAATGGGTCAAGTCATGTTCATCAAAATAAAGCCACCACTTATTCAATATGATAAAACTCAATATAAAATGGTCTCTGGGTTGTAATGGGGTATAACATTCATTCTGTATCTATAAAGAGATCCGACATACTATTTCTCAACCTTCTCCTTTTCTAATAACTACCATTTTTTATTCAAGTTTTTATGATCCTGTGTTTAACCAATGCTCTTGTGCTCTGTAGACTTTTATGTTCCTCCTTACTACACATTTCAGCTGATCTAAGCTCCCACTGTTTTCTTAGAAACGGAAAAAGGGTGCTTGTTTTAAGTGATGTGTTGTAGAAATTTTGAAAAGTACAGAACAGTATAAAGAATAATAAACTATACTCATATTCCCACCATCAGAAATAAAAATATAATATCTTGATATCCATCTTTCTAAGAAAGTCTTTTTTTCCTGCCTCTGTATTCTTTTTACATAGTTAATTACACCATAGTTTTCCTTTTTCAATTAAGATACATCCAGAGTATATTACCATACTTTAAATATTTTCTTCAAAGATAGTTTCTTAGGAGCTAAACGGTACTGTGTTGGATGGGTATCAGAAATTCACCCTATTGTTGGACATCATAACTCATGTTCTCCCAGACGCAGTCCCCAAGCCAAAGGTAAAATGCAAATGATTTGTGGAGGTGTGCTCCCAGATGACCCAGAAAGGGAGGGGGGAAGTGGGAGTTAAAAGGAAGCAGCCAATCCAGGGGGTGGTATCAGGTGAAGTCCGGCACTCAGCCCAATCCCATGGGGAGCTCTGGAGCGTCAGTTACACCCCCAGTGGTCTGGGTCACCTCGAGGTAAAGGAGCTAGGCTTTTGTACTGCTGGAGGAATGGTGTGTGCAAAGTCCCAGTCACTTAAAGCCCACAAAGAAAATGGGCTCCAGCTCCCAACAGCAATCCTCTGAAGGTAACAGATGTAAACTATTAACAATAAAGCACACAAGACACTAGAGGATAGGTGCCTAAAACACAATCCCTCCGTTAGAAATTTAGGTTGCAGTGATCATTGCCATTGCAATTCTTCATTGCAGAAAATATTGCAATAATTTTTCTGCTAGAAATAACTCCACTGAACATTTTTGAACCAAAATCTTATTGATTGTTACCTAAGGATTGATTGAAAGAAGGGATATTACTGTTCCAATGGCATACATATTTTAGGATTATGCATACAAATACACCTTTAAAAAATATTTTTATTAATTTACACTTCTAACACTCACCACTCATTTCCTACTAGCAACAATCTAGAGAACATCATTTTCTCACCTATGAATTGCGGACCCATGGACAACATCAGAGCTGTTCTGAGGGTCAGAGAAGTTATGTTCATTGTCCAGCTTTGAATATAGACTGAATAAATAATGCCTCAAAATGTGATTTTTTAAAAATGTATCCAGGTGCTGTTGTAGATAAAAACAATTTGCATATTTTGAAGTGTTTCTGAATGAATGCATCATTTATCACGTATTTTTACAAGTACTAAAATCATAAATAGACATGAAGTATCTGTAATACCATTTTATGTCAAGAAAAGGTGCTGTCTTATTTTTTTTTTTTTTAATCAGTATCACTATAACATCTTACCTTATCTCATGGCTATTGATTAGGAAATCACCCATTTGAACTGTTGCATCTTAAAGATTTGTCAGTAGGAAAGTCTATAAGACTTAATACCACAAGTAAGATACATTTAATGACCTGAGTCAGCAGACTGGAAAACATCTCAGAACCATTAAAGGTTTTTTGGAACATATATATCCACCTCCACCCACACTAATGCAACCTTCCATTCTCTTCTAGAGACGTTGAAACACAGAGCATTGTCTTGTTCTGTGTCTTTAAAAGTCTAAGGAAGTTATAAAGATACGTGCTCCTTCAAGGTGGAAGTATTATGTTTGACCCATTTTCTTAGCTTAGTCCTTGAGACTTCCTAAACAGCTTTTGAAATAAAAGTCAGAGACAATTTCAGGTCTTGAGCATTGAGGAAGACAAAGGGAAGGGAGCCAACATTTATGGAGCCCCTAGTCTGAGACAGTTACGTGCTAGTTACTGTCTGTTTTCCTGTTTGTGCTAATGGAGTTTCCATGACCACCCTTGAAATTTGATTCTAATATGGCAGAAGAGAAAGCCGAGGCTGGTAAAGATTGTGACTTGTCTTGGCTCTCTTACTTAGTGGGTGGTAAAATTGGGATTTGAACCTTAAATGACTTTCCCCTGACATTTAGAGGAAAACAGAATAAATGTCCCATCGTGTTGTTCTAAAAGACAGACAACTAACAACCCCATTTGCCTTCGTCCTCCTAGCCTTGCTTCATCCCAAAAGCAATTTCAGGGTGAATGATAGTGGATGAGAGGCACGTTGGATGTCAGTTAGGGTGTCCTTAATAAAATCGGTGTCTCTCACCTCTTCACTAAAGGAACCTTTCATACATTGTTGATGTATACTTTAGTGGCTGAAAATTTCTCTCCTGAGTATTTTTAGGTTCCTTTTTGGTTAAAGTAATTAATATCATAGGTCAAGCATACACTTTGAAATCTGAGAAAAATTTAAGGAAAAATCCGAAGGGGTCTGTAAGCCTCTCTTAGTAACCTGAAAGAGCCCATTTAGAAACAAACCACCAGGCTACTGTCACTTTGATCAGTGGGCATTTCCTGTTTCTTCTCTTAAGTTTTAAGGATGCTGATTTATTCTGATAATACTCTGTAGGCTTCCCAAGGGAATCGAGATGACTAGTTTTCCTTGCTCATCTACTGTCTACCTTAAGAGAACATGATAGGCATTAGGAAAATGAAGACAGCTTTTGGTGGACATATTTC